ATGGGAAACAGGAACTCCGCTCACTAGCTACAGTTGCACAGGTTGTTCCCCCCACCCCCACCCCCACCCCTGCACAAAGGCTCCCAGCCCCCAGCAGAGACAACCAGAGGCCAAGATCTAGCTTGTATTTCTCTCAGTAAGTTCTGTACATGGCAGAGGACAGTCTACTTCCACTTTTGCTATTTGTTCATTTGAGACAGATACCTCATGCAGTTCCTTTTTATCTCAAGCTGTGGGTGACCTTGAATTCCTAATCATCCTGCTTCAGCGCCCAAGTGTTGAGATTACCAGCCACACCTAGCTAAGGGACACTTTTCTGTGATTTCCACAAAAGTACTCTATGGATTATTGGTAGCCCTGAAGCTTCGAACAAGGTGGTAATGTGATTAACAAGTGCCATCTGGTATTTTGGGGGCATTTAGACTGTGACAAGCTCTCTTCTAAAAACTTTATAGTCAGCAAGATGGTTCAGCAGGTAAAGGTACCTGCCTGCTAAGTCTGACAATCAGAGTTCAGTCCCTAGAATCCACATATTGAAGAGAGAGAACTGAATTCTGTAAGCTGTCCTCTGACCTCCCCACATACACTGTGGCAAAAGTGTGTATGCACACATAAGATAAATTAATAAATAAATGTAAAAAAAAAAAAAAAACATTGCTGGGCATAGTGATGAATGCCTTTAATCCCAGCACTCTGGAGGCAGAGGCAGGTGGATCTTTGAGTTCGAGGCCAGCCTGGGCTACAGAGCGAGTTCCAGGATAGCAAGGACTAAACAGAGAAACCCTGTTTTGAAAAACCAAAATAATAATAATAATAATAATAATAATAATAAAACCTAATATGCATTCACTCACAGAATTCTAAAGCACAACCCTGAGGAAGACACTGGTGTCGTTCTGTCTTACACGTGGGGGCACTACTAAAGCAAAGAGAAACTGGGTGGTTTGCAGTGCCTTACAGCTTGAAAGTAAGTGAGGCTCCAGGACCTCTGAGCTCACTGCTACCTATCACCGATAGAGACATCTGCTATTCTGCTATTCTGCTCAGCTTTTTATTTATTTATTTTGGGATAGGGAATCACACTGTAGCTCGGGGCTGGACTTGAACTCATGGCAATCCTCCTCTCTCAGCCCCCTCCCCTACCCCCCATTGCCAAGTGTTGGAATGAGGTGAGCCACCACATCTGGCTACAGCTTTCCCATTAGGCCACACATTCCATGAGATCACCTCTGAACCTGCTCGAGGCAGTAGTCATGAAGAGACTCACCTGAAAGGGCACATCGGCCATGGTCTTGGCCAGGTAATAGGCTTTGAGACTGTACCAGTAGTTCAAGTGCTCCCTCATGAAGACCGCCATCTCTAAGGGAACTGAGGGCACAGGTAGGTCAGGCTGCACCGGCTAAGCCTCGGCCCCTGCCTCGTGCCCAGCACCCCCGCCCCACCCGCCAGGCAGATCAGCTCACAGGTGAGCACCGTGGGCATGAGGGCCGCAAACATGAGGAAGAGCATGGAGAAGAAGAGGAAGCCGGTGTTGTTGAAAACCTTGCTGGCATCGTCACCAATGTGCAGGTAGAGGAGGCCGATGAGGACGCCAATCAACACGTGTGACATAAACCGCAAGTGGGTCAGGACCTATGCACGGGGCATCAAGAGAAGAGGTATGAAGCCGGGCAGCGGTGGGGCACGCCTTTAATCCCAGCACCTGGGAGGCAGAGCCAGGTGGATCTCAGTGAGTTCGAGGCTAGCCTGGTCTACAGAGCGAGTTCCTGGACAGCCAAAACTGTTACACAGAGAAACACCGTCTTGAAAAACCAAGAGAGAGAGAGAGAGAGAGAGAGAGAGAGAGAGAGAGAGAGAGAGAGAGAGGGAGAGAGAAGAGGTATGTGTTCCAGGACAAGGGAATGGGGGTAGGGGATACAGGGGAGGCCATGCTAGAATAGGAACTCAGGGGTTCCCTGCAGGTACACAGAGCCAAGGTACATCGCATGGGACGGCAGTGTCCCCAGTCTCCATCCCAGAGGCTGAGAGCCCAAGACCTCCAGCCTGTACCTCCTGCCCCTCGGCCTGACATCTCACCGTGTCCCTGAGGATGGACAAGAAAGTCCTCTTGAAGAGGATGCAGAATTGGGTGAGGGTGCTGGTGGCGAAAGTGTGGCTTTCTATAGGATCCACTTCCTAGAGAGAAGGAACGGGACCGGGTGAGTGTGGCCCACCCACCCACTGCCCATCTCCCAGTGGACGGGAGAGTCCCGAGCCCTTCCCAGGACAAGGCCCAGGACTGCAGAAGGAGGAGGCTTTGCCCCTCAGCTGCTCACCTTGAAGCTGCTTTAGGAGTGAAAACCTCGGGGAGATTGAGGGTGGAAGGGAGAGAGAGCAGATAAAGATGCTGGAGGGGGGGCAGGAATCAAAGGCTCTCTTGGCCATAACTGTGTATATAGGCCACTGGCTCTCCCATTGCGCAATGATGACAATGATTAGTAACCATAGCCACGCCTCCGGTTTTCCAGAGTGATGGCATCTCACCTAAGGAAGGGATCTGGCACTAGGTAGACCCTGACTGCCCCAGCTACCTGCTACGAGCCTGAGTGATTTGCTAGTTAGTCTTCCCACTTGTTCTGGGAAGCTAGTGTGGTCCGAGATAACAGCAGACCATACTGGCCCCGAGGTCAGCAACCGCACTGGCCATGCTTTCCAGATGGTCCCTAAGCAGGCACTGAGGGCAGGCAGCGCACCAACGATGCTCACAGGAGCTCTGGAGGAATGGGTGGACGGGAAGTCCCAAGCTCCGGAGGTCACACTGCTGTTAACAGTAGGTCTGTTCCAAACACGGGGCCTCCTATTACACAGCGGTGGCAAGGCCTCTGGGGACAGCTTCTTTGGCAGGGTCTCCCCTCCCCCACTCTGCCCTCTGCACCCCACTCACCGGAGGGCAAGAGGCGCAGTGGGCAGGGACCTCATTCTTCTCTGGGCTGCTCTTCTTCTCAGCCATGGTGCAAAGGCCATTCTGCACAGCCCTGACCAGAAGGGGGTTCAGGTCTCCATACTCGCCAGAGGCCACCTCGATGACTAAGGGGACACAGAGCAGAGTGCTCAGCGAGGCTTCACCCTCAGTTCCCAAGGGCAGAGCCGTCCCTCTTGGGTACATGGAGAAGGCAAGTGACCATGAGCTCTCTGTCCCCACGAGGCCTCCATGACCCAAACCCAAAGAGTGGCCATCTTCTGTAGCCCACCTCCTCACCGGAGCCCTCACTTACTGAAGTCCGCAGGGTTATGGTAGGTAGGGCAGTGCAAGCCAAGCCCCTTCAGATAGGGAATGAGGTTGGTAACCATGCCCTTGAAGATGCATTGTCCCTGGCTCAGGATGTAGAGCTGAGGTAGAGAGGAGCACATGAGGAAAACATGACCCGTGGGCTGGGGGACCCCACCGACACTTCTGTCCCTCTATCACAGGCCAGTCCTTCTTGGAGACTCGGGGATACCGACCTTGTCAAACATTTCAAAGAGCTTGGCGCTGGGCTGGTGGATGGTGCAGATGACGGTTCGGCCCCCATGGGCTAGGGACTTCATGAGGGACACCACTTGGAAACAAGAAGCGCTGTCTAGACCGCTGTCCAGAGAGAAGTCACCAGGGAGCAGTGAGGTGGGTGGGCCTGAGAGGTGGTGAGTGAGGTAGGCTAGCTTCTGCGAATGGGATGGGTCTAGTGGGAAGGCACCCACCCCTCTGGCCACCGTGTGCTGCCTGGTTTTTATCAACTTGACACATTGGGCAAGAAGGAACAATAATTGAGAAGATGCCTCCGTAAGAGCAGCCTGTGGGGGCATTTTTCTGATTAATGATTGATGTGGAAGGGCAGAGCCTAATACGTGTGGTGCCATCCCATCAGGTGGTCCTGAGTTTTATATATATGTATATGTGTGTGTGTGTGTGTGTGTGTGTATAAACAAGCTGAGTGAGCCTCAGAGAACAAGCTAGTGAACAGCCTTCCTCCATGGTGTCTGCCTCTGTCCCTGCCCTCGGGTGCCTCAATGATGGACTGTGATCTGAACATGTAAGCCAAATAAACCTTTCCTTCCCTCCCACGCTGCTTTTGGCCACGGCCTTCCTTTCTCTGGCCGCAGAACCAGAAAGCACGGCAGGACGAACTCCCAGATCCCGCACACCTTGTGTGGCTCAGATATTTGCAAGCCCAGGGCACTGCTCAGTGTGAAAACCCCTGTGCCCAGCACTTCTTGCATACCAGGCACCAAAACGACAGGGCCCGTGTTGGACTGGTCTAGAAAGAGACAGACAAGCTTGTCGTCATCGTCGTCGTTGACTTGAGGGGATGTGGAAAGTGTAGTGGCAACACCAAGTAGAAGGCTGGCAGGGAACCAGCCACGCCGTAAGGCAGCAGTGGGTTGGGGTATAGGCGGAGAAGGCTGAGTCTATCTAGAAAGAGCAAGTGCTTGTGAAGGGACAATGAATGGAGTCAAGGTGAAGGGCATTCCACACAGAAGACACAGCAAGGGTCAAGCTGGGGGGCGTGGAACCCGGGGTTGGCTAGGAACTGTGGGCAGCTCAGCGTTATTAGAACATAAACTATGAAAGATGGGAGAAGAGGCCGCCTGACTGCTTTGATGGCAAATGGGGGACTCATTTGTGCGGTTTGAAGCAGGAGAGTGGAACTTTCTAGACTTGTTTAGAAAGCCCATTCTGGCCACAGGTTGGAGAAAGGTGCCCGGGAACCTGAAGGCAGGGAGATGAGTCTTGATGATGCCCTGAGCTCAAGCAATAGGGACAGGGGGTGGGCAGATCTGAGAGCTACCCAAAGGAGGATTCGATGGCTGTTGGGAAGAGGAGAGGGAGTTGTCAATCAGGAAAGGGGAGGGGGAGGAAGGGCGCATCCAGAGCTCTACCTGGATGAAAGTCAGGGCAGCTTGGCTCCGACTGAATTAGCAAGGATGGAGTCCCCAGAAGGCTGCAAGCAGGAGATTTGGTCTCCAGCCAGGGAGCCGTGAACCAGACATCATATCCAGCCCCCGCTCAGGGCTGAGAAGAGGAAAACCCAGGTCAGGAGAAACTGGGAGATACCTGGTAGGCTCATCAAAGAACATGACGGGTGGGTTGTTGACCAGCTCCAGGGCAATAGCCAGGCGCTTCCTCTGCCCTCCGGAGAGCAGGGCTGTCCTCGTGTGAGAGCAAGACATCAGACCCAGGGCTGTCAGGATCTCCGTCACCTGCAGGCACCCCACCCAGCCGTAGTCAGCCTCGGTGTCTCTGCTTCACCTAAGCAGCACCCCCGTTTCATAAAGCATGGCCCTTAAGCCCTTGGTCCCCACCCAACTTGGGGCCTCAGAACGACTCCACCCCTTGCCCCCCACTTACCAGCTCCTTCTTCACCTCCTGCTTCTCACTCAGCTTCAGGTTGGCAGAGACCTAAAAAGCGATACCCAAGTGAGGAAGGCTTGCGTGGCAGGCCCCGCCCACCCCCTTCAGCTGGCGACAGAAGAGGAGCTTGGAGGAGGAGAAGGCCACCCTCTCCTCACCATCATGGCTTCCAGCACTGTGAGGTGTGGCAGAAGCATGTCATCCTGCATGATGTAACAGGACATCTTGCGGAAGGTCCTCAGGTCTCGTGGCCTCCCATTAACCAGGATCTGCCCCTTCATCCCAGACTCCCTGCAGGGAGAAGGGTTGGTGATGAGCACCAAAGCCGCTTAAGAACGCCTTCTGGGCTCCCTCAGGAGGGTGGGTCCCCCTCCCGAGTCCTCACTTCCATTCCTCATGCTCACCTATACCCTGCCAAGATGTTCATGAGCGTGGACTTGCCAGCCCCGGAGGGGCCCATGATGCCAATCAGCTCTCGGCGGCAGAACTTACCAGACAGGCACTTGAGGAGGGTCTTGTAACCTGCAGCAAGGACAGGAGGAGTCACTGGTGAGGGCTAATGGATCAGAGGCATCCTCAAAACTCTCAAAGAGGAGGCCTGGGGAGAGGGCTCAGTCAGTAAAACGCTTGCCACATAAGCACTAGGAAGCACCCTGGTTCCATCCCCAGAACTCACTTAAACTGCCTGGCTCAACCCTTGAATAGTGATCCCTGCCTATAAGCCCAGGCTCGGGAGTCTGGGACAAAGAGATGGTTGTGAGTTCAAAGCCAGTCTGGACGACAGAGTCTGATACCCTGTC